CCCTACCCCCATTGCTGGAGAGGAGTACATAGACAGCATGAGGAGTGTGAGTCGACCCTGGATGACAGGCAGGAAGGAAACATGGACCTTGGTCCTGTGGCCCCAGGGAACTGAGTCTGGCCAATAACTTGAGTGGTTTAGAAGCAGACTCGTTGCAGTTTCCAAAAGAAGCACAGCTCTGCCAACACCTTCACTTTAACCTTGTCAAACTCTAAGGAGGGGACCCAGCGCAGTCACACTCTACTCACACATCTGCCCCGCAGAGCTGGCATAATAGACAGCATTGCTTGCACCTGTTAAATTTGTAATCATTTGTTACAGCAGGGATAGAAAGCTGATAGGCTGCCGTGGTTGAGATGATGGTTGTTAAAAGGTCCGTGGGCAAACTCTTGGTCCCCAGAGATCCTCACTGATCCATAGACCACAGAGAGGTGGGGCCTACCAGAAGGTCTTTTGGTCATGGGGTGTATTCTCTGTCTCTGTCTGCCTTGTCTGTGTCTGTCTGTCTCTCTCTTCCCCCCATTTCCTTGATCAAGATGGATAAGAAAGAACACTGATCATGCCATTGAGCCTACCAAATTTGAGCTAAACCATTTCTCATTACAGATTTCACTGCCTCCGTATTTCACCATGGTAACACAAAGCCAACTAGTACCTACACCATCTTTCAGCGCCAACACAAAGCCACTTCTGTGAACCTCTTCTGATTCCCCCCATCGCTAGGTGAGAGTCTGAAAGTTCCTTTCTCTGATTTTTCCAAGGACTCTGCCCCTGGGCCTCTTCAGGCATTGCCATGGTCCACCTGAATACAGAGTTATTTCTGTGTGCCACTCTAGGGAATAGACAGGAATGGTTCACCTTTATTTTCCTTTCACTGCATAGCACAGCGCCTCATATGTAGTTGGTGCTAAATTTTTTTTGGAAGGATGACTAGCTTCCTGGATAGATATTGTTTAATAAAATGAGTTGCTATGGCAGTTAGGAATTGAAATATGGACCCAAGGAAGATTTTTCAAATGTATAAAGGAATAGCTGCTTGATGATGAATACTGACAGGATAAAAAATATACAGAATGAGCAAAAGTTGGTTATCTAAACATTTTTGATGCTTGGAATCTGACAGTGCTCAGGCATCTGGCCCTAAGATGTAAATTAATATATAAAATAAACAAGATGGCAAGTCAGGATAGAGGTTTGTGAAAACAGCTGGGCAAGGCTGCTGAGCTGTTTTCCCTCACCTCGTCTTGCCAGTTAGCTGTGGGGAGCTGAACGCCAGTCCCCCTACCCCAAAGTGCTGAAAAATCACATTACTGTGAGAAGCCACCATACAGCAATCAATCATTTGTGCCATTTGCACCAAATTATAATCATGGGAATGGATCTCACCTGGCATAGGAGCACCGCCGTCCATGCGCTGCCTGTCCTCCATCAGCCCCCACCTTGTGGAGAGCTCAGAGTTTGCCTCAGGCCTGCATCTTCCCTTCCTCGAATTCTGGAGTCTGCTCGTGATATCCAGGCAGTCTTTCTCCCAGAAGGGCTGGCCAAAGGCCTGAAAGCCATGACAACACTCTGCTTTCTACAACCTCACTCATTCCGACCCTACAATGGTGAAGTTGCTGACCTACAAGAATGAGGTTCAGAGGAGCTAAGAGATTTGCCAAGAGAGTGGATGGGAGAGAAGAAGACTTAAGTAATGCACACGTGTTACACTCTGTCCCTCAGCCCCAGAAGTGGCAGACCCATGCGCTGCTGCCTTGGGGCGAGTCTTCAGGGTAGCTGATGTGGAAAGCAAGGCAATATAGTGTCCGCAGCGGGGGGACCCTAAAAGAACACTGCCTGGTGGGAGAAGGAGCACAGAGCCCAGGCATGGGCCAGTCCAATGCCTATTGGCAGCTTGTGGATTAGGACAGTTGGCTCTACACAGGAAGAACCTGCTCAGATGGAATGAGAAGGAAGGGGAGAGGAGAGGAAGCAAGCCACCTGCTACGGAGATGCTCTGAAATGTGCTCCAGACTCCCAGAGCTGGGCCAGAGCCCGTGAGATCAGTGGAACAGCTCGAGTACTCTGTCCTCAGGCCTCTTCCCCACAATACTCAGGGCTCAGTCCCAAGGCGGAGACCCTTGGAGGTCATAAGGCACAGCAGGGAGCCTGTGACCCTCCTACAGCTACAAGGTGTAGAGTAGGGCATAGATGTCTGGCTGGATCCAAGGATGTGTGGCAGGGTGTGTAAGTATTCCTCACGGGCCTCACTGGAGCAAGCTGCCCATGTGTTATTTTGACCCGGGGCATCACGAGGTCCCTTTCACTGGAGGAGGGGGTCACATCACTCCATCCAGGCAGGGCTTCTGGGGGCTCCCCCAATGCGGCCTCACAGATATCCTTGCCCTACCACACAGGGTTGCTGCTCCCCCTCCCACCCTTTCTCTCACTCGCTGCTGCCTCAGGCTGGCCCAGCTGCAGCTTCCCAAGCAGATTTCTCAGTCTGGGTCTCAGCATGGTGCTCTTAAAGTTTCGCCTTCCTGCCATGGGACAGATAGTTCCATCTCCCCCTACACACACACACACACACACACACACACACACACACACCCTACACATGTCTTTCCTCTTTGCCAGAGAAGATCTGCATCCTGCCATCTCCAAAGAAAGGCTTTCTTTCCAAACTCCCAAAATGTAATATATTATTCTCTGAAGGAGGGTGATGACTTTAAGGGGGCAAACCAGCCATCAGCCACCCTCTCTGCAAGTCTTACGCAGATGCTTGAGGGCCTCACTTTAGAATGAGGGGATCGTTGTGTGCTTCATATTTTGTTCTTTACCTGCAGACCCAGGAAACAGCCCCACTTTAGCATCCTGTCGTGGGAACACAGGCAAAGAGATGTAGAGGGGAAATGTCCCCCATTGCTGCTTGTTCTTGGTTCCAAGTTCTCCACAACTTCTTCCTAACCGTGTAGCTTTATTATTATCACTTAGTCCAGCTGTGGGACCCAAAGGTGACATAAAAGAAGGCTCATCTCCCAAAGCAGGTGCATGATTTCATTTAAAAGTCCCGCACCAGGAGTTGGCAGCCAAAGAGCTGTGCGACCAGACAAGTATGTCACCCCGTACCTGTCTACCTTCCTGTCTCTAAAATAAAGCAATTGAGCTTGAAGACGCTAGAGGTCCTTCTTGCTCTGGGATGCTAAATTGGTTTGGGGAACTGTACAAGGCCAGGCCAGGGCAATTCAAGGGCAGAGATGACACCAGAATCCCTGAGGGCAGCGCCTGGCATTTCCACACCCACCCATGAGCTGCTTTGTTTCAGGTGACAAGCTCTACCTCCTGCCTTAGGGACATGTCCTCTGCACTTAAGGATAGAGACACAATAAAAGGGTGGGCTCCTGGATAGGGACGGGGGGGGGGTCATTGGGCTGATCTCAGGCTCTACCAGGTTAAGAAAGACGCATGTAATGAATGGCCTTGTCCTGGACCCAAAATAGGGAGCACAGGGACTGATTTCCAGGTTTCCTCCAGATAAGGATAAAAATACAATGGGTGCAGGGATGTTCCCAGCCGTAAATCAATCCGCCAGGACTATTTCTGTTCTTATCCCTGGCCCAGGGCTCCTCCTGTGACCTCCATCCTGTCCTCCCCATCCTGGCCGCCCAGATACCTTGGCCCAGGAATAGGAAGAAGCCCATCAGCTGCCCTGACAACAATTCGGCAGCTCGGCCGTCCCAGCGTGGGCATCCTAACCCTGCGCAGAGCTCCCATCCACCGCCGCGAGCCTGGTTAGCATGGGTGCACGTCAACCCGCCAGCGGATCAACTCAACTCTCAGTATGCACTGGGTCTCCCCACCAGCAAGGCTGAGGAGCTGCCTGGGGCTCGTGGTGAGAAACAACTCGGAAAGCCTCTCCACATGGCTAGGGGTAGGGCTTCTCCTTCATGTGATTACAGGGATTACAGCCATCTCTAAGGGGTGCTGGGAGATTAAAGGAGGCCCTGTAGGAAAAGCGTTAAATACGGCACCTGGCACAGTGCAGATGCTCAGAAATTAAGACTTGCTCTCCCCTGCTAGCCTTCCATCTGGAGCTCAGACGCCCACAGCCAATCCGCGTCCTTAAAGAGCTCCTCTGTGGTGTTTTCATCAGCATGTCAGGTTCAAACCCAGCTCTTGCGGAGGCCCTTAAGAATATCTGATATACTCTAAGATCCTAAGTCAGTAAGGAACCCCAGGTGCTCTGTGGCTGGGCCTGCTGAGGAATAAGCACGCGTGCCCGGTCCTGTACTGCCCTCTGCAGGCTCCGGTGGCATCCGCAGGCAGTGTTGACTGCCTTGTGCAACACCCAGAACGACCCAGGTGTCTCATTCCGTGGACTTTCGGCACTTCACACATTCACACAGCAGGCAAGGCCAGGTGCTGAGGAGGACCACACCCCAGGGCAGCGGAGCCCTGTGCCGCTCACAAAGCACTTGCTTGCTAGGTTTAGTGGCAGCCTCTGCTCTTAACTCTGTACCTAAGCACAGGATGGAATTCTGGGTCATTGCTCAGTCCTGACAGTCTCACTAACAACAAATAACAACGCATAGAACCTGCTCCAGAACATTCCAGAAAATCGTCTGATAAATAGACCTGGGTATTTACTGCAAATATCACTCTGATTTTGAAAGGTCTTCAATCTTAGTCCTACTGTAGAAGAAACAGCATATGTAGAATACTCCTAAGATTTTTTTTATTTAAAAGTGAAAAAAGAAAAAAACAATAAAAATGGTACAGAATTTCAAAACAAGGTGATAGGAAATTAACAAGGGTTATATTACATATAGTTATCTTCAAAGTAATTGCTCAGATTAGAAGATATAGGCACGTGAAATTGATTAAACAATATAAGCACTAACTGTTCCTTTCAATGAACCAATAGATCTCTCCCTTCCCCTCTCTCTCCCCCCTCCCTTTCTCTCTCTCTCATCTTTTTGAGACAGGGCCTCACTACACAGTTCAGGCTGGCCTTAAGCTCACTTTGTAGCCCAGGCTGGTCTCAAATTCTATCAGATCCTCCTGCTTCAGCCTCCCAAGTGCTGGGATTACAAGTTTGCACCGCCATGCCAGGCTCAAAGAATAGAAATTAGTACAATTATGTTAGCTATCTTGTGTGTAGATAGCTAGATAACTAGAGAGAGTGTTTTTTTTTTTTTTCAAGAAGGGAATTTTTAAAGAAACTGTGTGTCCATACATGTTTGGTGTGTGCTTTTTTTAGAAATGAAGGCTGGCTAAGATATGAAAGATACTACCATCACTTGGTGTGATCATGATGGTTGACAAGCAATCCTTACTGCCAACCAGCTGACAGTGTCACTTATTAGTGACACCAAGCATCACCTCTACATCCTTTCCACTGCCCTCCTTCCATGACCAGAACCACAGACTTTTTCTGGCAGGCTTGGTGTTGCAGACAGTGACAGCTCATGACAACATGACACTGCCCACTGCTATGCTGTGTGGAAGCCCCCTGTTGGAACAATGAAAGGGGACACTTGTCTGTCACCTGTTCTCTCAACCAGCAGCAGGCACTTGGGGGATTCTGAGCAGAGTACACTAGGACCAGGCCTTGCATAACAATCAGGGAGCCGAGTCTTTGACGGCTGCAGATCCCTTACATAACTGGAGTTTTCAGGTCATACATTTATAGACTTAGAGCGGAAGAAGATCTTAGAGATTAGCAACCCTTTCATTCTGCACTAAAACTACCCAGGAAGTGACAATGGCAGCCCAAGGTCACAGAGAGAACCGCGGTGAGAACGCAGGCTCCTTAATTCTTTTTCCTCTGGCTGATATTGATTTCAAAAGTATCATTCCTAGGTGAAAATTATTCTGCCTTCAAATGAAAAAGAGTCTTAAATCAGATATTTGAAATACACAGAAGGGACTGGGAAGGAATTTAACACAAGATAGGTAGTCAATAATAGAGGTGGCTGGATTTTTGTGTTATAGGGCAATTTTACTTTACGCAGTTTAACAAAATTGGATCCAATTAGTCTTGAATTTGTGTCATTCCTTATTCTCCCCGGTGACTCCAAGATGGCTAGTTTAATCTCATCCTTCAGCTTCATTGCAAAATGTTAATATAGATCTGAGGTTATAACACAAAATTCATCAGTGACCAAGGCACACAGACTCGGAGTAACTTTGGTTTAAGGTCTGAGAGGTTTGTAAGATTCCTCTTTGGAGGACAGACAGACACCACTAGCCCCTGAGGTTGTGTGAGCTAGCCGGCACCTGTGAGCACAGACAGGCACTCACCTAACCTGTGACAAAGGCATGATTAGACAAGACTTGAAATGCCTAAATATGAAATGCGTGTTGGTCACTTCGGCTGAGTTGTTCTGAATTTGCTCATCGTTGGGTTTGCAAATCATCTGTGATCAAAATATCCCAATGCATTCCTTTTTTCCAAATGTCTTTCTGATGAATCACAGCTTTGCCATCCTGCTCAGATCCATCTAGGTTTTTCAATTCACACTTCCTGCTCCACAGAAGTCCCACTGTGGTGCAAAAGCAGTCCACGGGTACTTTCTCTTCAGACCCTCAGAGACCAGGGTTTACAGTTCTCAGGTGTACCAGTGACACACTAGAAAAGAAAAATAGAGTTCTCATTGCCAGGGTCTTGTAATAGTGCCCCTCCCACCCTGTAACATACACGCCACCTCCCACAGCTGCCAACCACCATTTCAAGATCAAATCATTATACATCTCAGCCCCTGGGAATGCTCCGGGGAGAGATCCCTTAATTTGCTAGTCATTTATTTCCACGGAGCACTTTCCCTGTGGCAACCATTCTATTAGACTCAGGAGATACTATGATGAACAATTTGGAATTGGTTCTTTCTCATACACCACTAAGTCTCTAAAAAAGAGAAAGCAAAAGCACAACTGACACATAGAACCAGCTATTATGCAAATCCACTGTAAGGGTGTTAAAACATCGATATATTGTTAGATAGGAAAGAATTTTTGTTTTAAGTTGGAAGCTTCAGAAGGGCTACAGAAGAATGCCTACAAAGAGCTAGTCTTGCAATCTCTTCAAGCTTATGGGGAGGCCCAAGGGGGCTCAGGTAACTGGCAGTGCTAGGAGCTACGGAAGGTTCTGGGCTGTGGGAAGGCTGCACAGCCAAGAGAATGTCACTGTCCAGGAGCTCACACATGGTCTGAGTGCTTCCTGCCTCATAGTCAAGCTACTGGCAGAACCCAGTTCTGCTAGCCTAACAGAAGTTGTGGCCACAAAGGTAGTTAGGGAATTCGATGTGTACAGTGTCCATGTCGGTACAACTCAGAGGTGGACAGTCTTAGCATGTTCTTTTCCCAGGCACTGTCCACTAAAAGTGTCACCTGGTTCTGAAAAGCCTGCATAGTCTCCAAAGGTACCTGTGTGGTCCTAGCATCAGGGCCTGCCACATGGTAACCATAAGACAAATGTGTCTGATCTCATTATGTAATTCCCCATCTCTATCTCCATAATGCCTCACATACATATCAAAAAGAATCCCCAAATGCTAATGACTAATACCAAAGATTAGGCTCTTCCTGACTTTCATCTGTCATCTGAAGGCAGATGGGAAATGGCGAAATCAGAGGGGCGTGAATCCACTCCACACGTTCCTCCCATCCTTAGGGAGGCTCTGCACAAGCTACAGCTTTAAAGCAGTTCTCATTGTTCTGTTGCAGGTTCATTCACCTTGGTGCACCATGGCACACACCAAAGACAGACACTGACCCATGGCTTCCCATGTAGGAGAAAGCCTGCCACCTCTGCTTTCTGCAGAACCTTCCCCTGAAGGTTGCCAGCCAATGCCCAGCCTCCTACCAGGGTGGTGAACTGGTCCCCACAGGCGTTGCGGATCTTCTCAGGGGTGGCAGGGCTGTCGAGCCGGAAGAGCTGCTTGGCATTATAACCTGAGCGCTGGGCTCGAGCTGCACTGATGGCATCCTTGATGGCAAAGAAGATGGAGGCAGCCAGGAAGAGGGGCGGCTCCCCCACGGCCTGAAGGGACAGAGCAGCAGGCAGGGATCAGGCGGAGCTGTGACCCGACCTCCAGGTCTCCACCCAGACCTGCGAGGCAAGACCACAAGCCCACTCCAGAGCCCCAGTCAGCACCAACGGGACAACAGCAAACACACAGTCAAAATTAACAAGGGGCTGAGAACAATCAGGGTCCTAAATAACTAGACCCAGTGGGCATATTAGCTTTTGCTATGTAATTTTGTCTGATGACTTCATGTAAATATAAAATATAATAAGAGTTATGCTAAACAAGAGTGCTTGCCTAGTGCGCACAAGGCCCTGGCTTCGACCTCCAGCATTAGCTAGACACACACCCACAGGCACAGGTATGCTAAATACTTATATTTTTATACCAAAATATCTGACATGAGCTTTAACCCTTTCCTCTCAGTCATTGGCCTGGGGGAATAATCTGCTCATAACTCTGACACCAACGCTTTATAATTATGGCAGTTGCTAGAGCTGTAGGCACAAGGACAAATAAACATTAAAATATTTTCTAGCAGAACTTGATCCCCCCCCTCCACCCCCAGCACAGTTCAGAGACCATCTATACCAGAAACACTCGCAGTGTTTACTAAAATTACTGTCCCAGGGCTCTACTCCTCAAGCAGTTTCTTGGGGTGAGCTCCACTGAGGTGCATTTCAATAATGATCCAAGAGCCTGACGCATGGTGAGGTGTGAGAGCCAGCAGAGAGGGACCCGCCACACTGCAGAACCCCACCTGCTCACCCACAGGAAAGTAACCCATGAGATAAACAAAGAGGCACATCATCAGCTACCTTCCTTCAGGCGACTGCTTGCCTAGGACTATACTGATCAGCTAAATTAAGTTTAAGCTATTGTTTCCTACTTATTGGGGACAAGGAAGAAAACATCCAGGTGTGCTGATCAAGGCTTAAGGTTGAGTCTCAGCAGCTGAAGGAGATGGCAGGTGAGCGCAGAGACACAGCTCCCACTGGTGGTAAAGACACTGATTCTCAGAGGCTGTATCTGTAAAATCTCTGAGGACCAAGTCTTGGGGTTCAAGTCTGAGAGATGGGTGTAGGTCAGGACACATTAAAAAGTCCCTTTCAGTCTATGGAGAGGAGCCAACTTCAGACCATATTGAGATGGTGTCCTCAACCCAATTTAACTGCCCACACTCCCTGCTGCCCTTGACAAGGCCAGTGTCACCCTTATTCCTTCTTCAGGAAGAATCCCCTACAGATACACCAGGTGGGAGGCGGAAGACCCTCATCACCGACTGTGGCCCCAGCCCAGCCCAAAGCACAGATCAGAAGGCATCCCAGGCCCAGAGCAGGAGTACCTTGGACGCATAGATGGCTTTCTTGTTGGGGCAGTCACGCAGCAGGGACACCCTGAACTCCGTGGGAATGCTGCCGAAGGCAGGGATCTTGTAGGTGCTGGGACCACGGGTGTGCAGGCTCCCCTCGGGGGAATAGTGCAGCTCCTCCATGGTGAAGAGGCCAAGGCCTTGGACAAATGCCCCCTCCACCTACAGGACAGATGGGAACCATGACTGCCTGCCTCTCCCCCTCCCCAGGACGGACGCTGCTAGCCACAATGGTCACATCCCCAGCCCCTCCACAGTGGGGCCTGAATAGAAGCTAAAAAGCCTTCAAGTACTTGTCTGCCTCCTGCGCCAGCCCCCATGTGACCTAGCTGACCTTTCCTCAGATGGGACAGTTAAGGGCATCAGCCTGACCGGATTGAGAGACTACTAAAGAAGTGGCTGTGTCACAGGCAATGCATTCATTACTGCATCAATCCACTGACATTTGAAGCAGAATGTGGAGTTGGAAGGTGTGGCTCAGTTGAATGTAGGTCAGTGGGGTGTGCTTTGAGGGGTACCTCTCTCCTTGGCCCTCTTCTCTCTTTCTACTTTCTAGCCATGAGTCAACACATAAACCTTTCTTTTCCCCTCAAGGTTGTGTATGTCAGATATCTGATCCCAACTAAGACCCTGGGTTTTATCGCCAGTCCTGAAAGAACAACTCAACAAGCAGTTTTTGATTCAGGCAGAACAAAAGCATTGATGCTGAAGGTCACTTCCAGAACTTGTTGGCCATTCTAGGGTCACACAGTAGAAGGCCTCTGGGTAAATGCAGCTGTTTCTTCCATGTCACCCCTGGGAAATGGTGGCCAAAACTGAGCTTGTGGAAGGAGTTTCTTGGATGACAGCATCTATGAGGTTAACTGCCCACCTTGTTGAACTTTCACTCTTGCCTGTCCCCTGGGCGAAGCTGGCCCTGCTGTAGCTTAGTGATCTCTTCTCAGTGCCTGCTACACTGCACTGGCCTCCATGTCTGATCCCTATATCTTGGCTCCAAAGAGGATATGTGAGGCAGCTATGGGGGGTGCTGGACAGGCGTGGAGGAGGGGCCAGTTGTGAAGCCTCTTTGCATCCGGGTGCCTGGTACGGTACCTGCCCACAGAAGGGCCCCCCCCCCCAATAGCTAGCTGCTCAATGAAGACTGATCACTAGATTCCCACATCCTCAACAAGGGCCCACTTCTGAGAAATGGGATGCATATTATCTACCAGATGCTCACTACTTCAACTCTAGTTTCCTACGTCTGTCTTCTGTTTTACTGTCCAACAACCTAGTACTTTCCAAAAGTGACTTTCTCAGACACATCTCTTAATTCCTTCCAGTTTACCTTTTCAAATCTCACACACACACACACACACACACACACACACGCGGGTGCTGGTTCTCCCTATTCCTGACTTGACAGTATTTACTTCCTGGGAGATCAAAGCTGTCCTGGATGCAAGAGTAATGAGGTCAGTGACGATTCTTCAGACCTTCAACTCTACCATGTAGGCATCTTTCCCAAACTCAATCTCCACACCTTGCTGTGCTCATTTTCAAACCAGGTGTGTGCCCCTGTGTGTGTACATGTACATGCACACACACACACACACACACACATACCTAGTGTTCCACCATTCCTCATCTTGTTCTCTGGAGCACAAGTGCCTTTTCCAAGTTAAGTCATATTTATTTGCTTCCTGCCTTGAAGGTTGGGTGGACAATCATCCATCTAAATCCCACTCTAGAGGAGACTTCTTAACTACCAAGTTGTGACCTGCCTAGAAATAGCACTGGATAAACAGCCTGTGTGCTTGGCCACCTGGGGTGGAGACTTGGGACACACTGGCAGCCTATGATAGCATCACTCTGATCTTCTATGAGTCTCACCTGTCCAATATCAATGGCAGGGTTCAAACTGGAGCCAACATCCATGACGATGTCTGTGCGGAGATTCTAAAGTGGGTAACGAAACAGGAACAGTTTGAGAAGAATGAAATGTTTGGGATAGCATAGATGGGCCTCAGTGACCCTTAGACCAGCATCGCCCACCCCAACAGTACTTTTATAAGCAAGGAGCTCTGAGCACACTTAGGGAGAGACGTTGATGCTTCTACCATATCTTGACTGACAGGGTCACTACTGAAGTTTGAGGTCCTAGCAGCTAGTTGGGGACAGGAAGCAGCACTGATTTCTCAACAGTTAGAGTAAGTGCACACACATTTGTACTCAAGAAGAAAGGGCACATTCTCTCTCAGGGACTGAGGTTGTAAGCCCAAATCTCAGTAGATCATGTAGCAAAAGAATCTGTAAAATCTATTCCATGAGCTAAATCTGCTTTGTTCTCTGTTTTTGTGGGTAATGATTATATTATTAAATGGCTGAAAAAATTAAAAGGATATCCTGTGAGAAGGAAAAATCATCTGAATTTCAAATTTCAATGCTCATAAATAACATTTTATTAGAATGCAGTCACTCCTATTGTTATATATCATCAAGTGCACAGCTGAATGGTTGAGGCAGAGATTGTGTGGCCCGCTGAGCCTAAAACATGTGCTCTCTGCCTCTTTAGAGTATTTGCTTATCACAGATGTAAGGCATTATTTCCCAAACCAGAAAGCTTGTCTCTACTCTGAGGATCACAATTCACTTGTTTCTCTTCTCCTTTCCCCATTAGGACTCATGGTTTGTAAATTTCTTACCTTATGATCCCCTGTCAAGCAGTCAATTTCTACCTCAGAGCAAGCCACCCCGTAGCTGAAGTAGTGAAAGGGGTTCCCAGAGTTGCTGGCAGCATCATAGCCAAGGTTGGGGGTCCTGGGAGCAAAGTGGGAAGATGTGGCATGGGCCCTAGGATGAGCCCACCCCTCCCCTCCACGCACGTGGCTTCTCCCACCCAATCTCTAAGCCCTAGCCATTCTGCTGTCTCATTCGGCTGGTCTCTAAGAAAGTGCATGTGTTTTAAATATTGTGAACGTTTAATGAAACCCAGATGTTCTCAACTATTTTGTTTCACATCAGAATCATTCAGTATAGCTCTGTTTAGTTTAATATCAGGGTGCTGTCTTCTATAGCAGAAAGAGAGTTTTCAGTTTTGCTGGAGCTCCCAAAGAACATCAAATCACTCGGCAAAGGATCAACCAAGCCAGAATCCAAGGTTTTCAGAGCTGCAGCTCTGCCTGGGAGGGCGCGGGGGCTGTTCACACAGGTGCTCACCCTTGGTAAGGTGAATGCCAGCAGCATTAAGAGCTTGTGCTAGCCTGCATGCAGCCTTACGTAGTCACTGCCCCGACCGACCTCCCAACCCTTTCAAAGTTCAACAAGTTACCTGAGGAAAGTGTTTTTTGATAGAAATGCATGCTCCTCTGTATGTGTTTTCTTTTTCAATCCTCAGTATCTTATATAACTCCACTTTTGCATAAGTCATATTATGTGTACTGTGTTTTACGGACAAATACCCTATGAATACACCCACAATATAGTACACTATACCTATGTCATTTTATATATTACACAGAAGTAAATAGGAATGGATTATATAATCAGGCAAGATTGGGTGTGTTCAAGTTGGTATGGCTGTAGATGGATGATATAACCAGAATCCACACAGAAACAAAGCCAATACAAAGCTGGGGAAAAGACTTCTCCCAGGAAAGCTACAACCTTCTTTGACCTCTAAGCTCACCACATTCATCTAGATCCACCTGTGTAAAACCCTAGTTTTATGAGTTCCAAAAATGTAACAGAAACTTATGCAAAAACCTGCATTCATCTAGGTCTAGATTGGTCTAATATTATATAACTTGGAGATAAAAAGAAAAATGTTCCATCTAATATTATATGTAATATACAAGAGTATATGTTCATATACATTCACACATTCATGCAACACATTTTAAAGCAAGCATTGAGCTATTTTTCTAATCTATTGATCTGTGAGAGAAAAGATCCTAATTAAATTCCCAGAAATAGCTAAAATATCAACTGACAACAAGCATGACCATAGGCCAGGTGGACAGGGTTGCTAGCAATTCACATTGCTATTGAATCTGAAGGCTGCAGAAGCTGTGTGTTCCCTCCTGCATCTCATTACCAAAGTTCCACTGAACTCTGCATGTTCTAGCAAGGCCTCAGGCTCTCAGTCCTCCTCTAGCCCTTCTGCAGGAAAACCTGCGTAGAGAAATCTGAGGCCTGGTACAGAGGCACACGGGAGGTACAGCGATGCCTAGATTGAAGCAAAAGGTGCCCTGTATATTGCAGAATGCTGAAGCAGGAGGGGCAATTAGCCCAGTATATTTTAAGTGAGGAAGCTAATAACACAGTCCATTGTGAGATCAAAACTAGAACGTGGGTGTCCTGATAGGGCAGCTCCCACTTTTGCCTCCATGGCACACAGTTTGGAAATTCTACGTATCTAGAGCATCTTTAGGATGGTGAGAGTTTTGGTAGAAATACTCTCACTCTCTCTCTCTCTCTCTCTCTCTCTCTCTCTCTCTCTCTGAATGCTGGCAATATTCACAGTGGGCAGGACTGGGGATTTAGGATGACATTACAGTACATCCTGGGGTGGGCAGGAACGGGACCACACTTACTTATAAAATCCAGTAGCAGACAAGCTCACTCTGTCGAAGTAGGCAGCTGAGACCTGTGGAGAGGAAAAAGTCATCAGGGAGGAGAAAGCATGGTTTGCAGAAGTGCTGACCTCAACCTACGCTTTCAAGGGCTCTTCCTCTTCATTTTGGAAGCCAATCCCCTTATTCTTCTAGTGATGCCCACTCCCATAACTTCTCCTCACATTCTGTCTCCGCCATGGGGGATCCTCACCCTGGGCAGCCCACAGACACTAACCAGCCCTTTCCCGGCCCCTCAGGGTCCCCACATTCATATGGTTCCTCCACTATTTCTACCCCAATCTATGTCTTCCCTTGATGAATTGCACAGAATTAGCTCTTTAACAGCCCCTCCTTGGTGATTACTCCCTACTCTACCGTTGTGAAAGCAACTCTGGTTGTCCATCATGTTTAACATGATAACCTTGACATTTCTTACATAGTTTCCTAATAGTAAGATTTTCATCCATGTTTTCTTGAACTAGTCACTTTTATGATATGCCCTGCACTAGCACAACACTAAGACCTAAGCAGTTCTTGACATCCTTTTATCATCCTTGATATTCTTTGTATCACTGTCCATTACTAAGCCCTTTGCTTGGTACAAGATGCTAATTAGCACTTTGTAATTATGCTGTAAAATCTATGCAATTACTATGTCTTACAGATGAGAAAAGTAAGGCTTAGAGAAAACGATTCTGACCTAGGATCTGCACTAGGAATATAACATACGATATGATATGATAATATGGGTGTTGGGGAGTTTATCTTTTTACTGGAATCATCTGCTTACAAGGGATGCTGAACTACATCAAAATTTCCTGACAAGTCCATGGTAAATCAAAATCCGCCTGAATCAAGCCATATTCAAGCAGCACTCATGCATATGATGCCTATGAATATGGGAAGAAAAGTCCAGGTTGTGTGGAACACAGAAAGAGAAGAAGCTCTGGCGGAACTAGTATCTTTTCCTTGAGTCTGTTGAAGATTTGTGCCATGTGACCTGGTTCATAACCAGTCGTATTTTATATCCTATTATGCCCACTTCTCTCCCAGTGTTGAGGGGTGCTGAGCAGAGCTGTCATGGAATTTCTGCCTGTTAGAAGAACTATAGGAAAGGATAGGAGTCAGGGGTCAGGGAGCAAGAGGCAAGGGAGCAGGGAAAGAGAAACATGGAAGAGGAGGGGAGGAAAGAAGGCAAGGGAGGAGATCAAGGAAAAAGAAAGAGAAAAACAAAGGACAATGAGAGAGAGACTGGGTGGCTGCAACTTTCCTCTGAGGGCTTCTTGCTTGTAGGTATATGGTCTAGGATTCAGAGAAACTGGCTAACTCTTATAGAGAGTATTTGTTCTGTCATCCCTAAAATTGCAGTATTATAAGCTCTCGGGGAACATCTTTATCTTCTACATTTCATGGATGGCATCTCACCAGACCCAAATTCAAGAGTTGGGAGAGGTACAAGGGTAGCCTTCAGAAAGACAGAAATTTGAAGAACACAGCCCATTGAAACTTCTGGGCACATAGCATGGGATGGGGCCCAAGGGACTCAAGACGTCATGAGGCGCATGTTCTGCAGCCATGCCACCCTCTCAGGCTCAGGGAAGCCCACATCTCAATTTCTACAAGGCTGTCAAGATCACAGATGAACATTTTTCCTAATGTTACTTCCTTCAACTCAAAACCAAAGAGCAAGGTACCCAGCAAGGTCATGCTGGACCTGTCCCATGAAGCCACATAGACCACCCCAACTTCTCTGCATGTGTGATCATATCATTATTGCATATGCTTGTCAGAGCTGGGAGCTTCTATTGCTAATCTCTCATTTGCAAAAGTAGCTCAGATAGCTCAGACTTACCCAGTCTTCCCAGGAGCCATTGGGATTGCTTTTCTTGAAGGGTTCCAGCCTTTTCAAGAGGGTCTGACAAGCTTCCTAAAAAATCAACACACTAGACACATCAATGGCATCCTAAAGGCCAGGTGACACCCAAGGGTCTGGGTAAGACCACCTCCCAGCAATGCTGTGTTTTGCTGCCCTTCAAGAATGGCCAAGACCCATAGTGGGAGTCACAGAACTCTACAAAAAGGCCATCACTAGCCCTTGTCTGGACAACCCTTCCTGATCTGTCCTAGGCTCGCAGAGACAGAACTTCTGAGGGACCACCATGGAGGTGACTCTTCCATCAAATTCCTTGTTTCATTACCCCCCATGTGGGAGAGAAGGCTGGCCCCATAAGTGTCAACTACAGTCTTTTATCTTTATGACCAGTTCCAAGAACAGGGAGTGTGCCTTCCCAGAATCCCTGCTGTCCTTTTCTCACCTGCTGTATGCCCATTCCTGTTGGCTTTGACGGAAGTGATTATGCTTTCTGAATTCTATATGGTGCCATCTGGGGGAAAGCATCCTGCTTGTGCATAGCAGAAGCAAAGAGCCTAAGAGAATCCATTCCAGCCCCACCCCAGGGGGTTCTCCAGTCCTCAAGCCCTAAGCTGTCCCTCTACTGTACAGGTCCCTGGAAGTTCCTTACATAAATGGCCTGGCCATTGAGGTCAGCGCTGACAGAAGCAGCTGTGGGAGAGGTGTTGGGCACAGTGTTAGTGCTTGTCTCACTGATATAGATCTTGGAGACGGGAATTTTCAGCACTCTGCTGGCCACCTGCAAGAAGAGAAGACATTACCCTCAAGGGAAGAGATTATCACGGGGCTTAGCTGCCTTCCCCCCAAGACAAGGCTTGGGTTCACTGTCAGAGGCAAGAAAGTAATTCTGTAAGCTTTGAATCCTATTGATTTTGGATATTCTCACATCTGCTGAATTTGAAGGAACACAGAATAAAGTAGTTTTGTGGGATAAAAAAATGCTAAAACCCAAGGTGACTGAAAGTGTCTTTTTAAGATAAAACTGGCTCAAAAAAATAATTCCAACATATCCACTCCTTGGGAGCTGAGCAGGTGTGCCATCTCCCACCAGTTCCATGATCCTAGCCTCCCGCTGAAAATCTTGTGGGGTGTAGAAAGCCAGCTGCCTCCACATGCACATGGCCTGCCCACCCCACGCAGCATTGCAAAGCCTAGGACCAGGTAATGAAAGTGTGCCCTGTAATCACCTGGCCAATTCCATTGTATAGATAAGGGAAGTAGGGTCAAGAGGGGAGCAGACTTGCCTGAGGCCATGAGTGACTGAGACCCCAAGCTTGTTACTGTTTCTGCACATCCCACTTTTTTTTTTTTTTTTTTTTCCGGAACAAGGGATTGAACTCAGGCCGTTGCACTTGCCAGGGAAGCACTTATTTCACTGAGCTATCTCCCTGGCCCCTGCACATCCCACTTGTTTCGACAGTATATTCCTCCCCCGTCCTTCCCAACCCAATAAGCATTAGAGATCAGGAGGGGACCTCAAAGTCTGCAACCTTCTCACCTGGACCATCTTGGTGTGTAGGCCTTGGCCCATCTCAGTGCCCCCATGGGTCAGCAGCACAGAGCCATCGGTATAGATGTGAACCAGGGCCCCTGCCTATGGAAAGAGAAGGGTGCCAGAGACAAAGTTAAGTACGTCCTAACTTATTTTATAAAGTTTGGCATCAACAATATGAAACTCAGGCCAAAGAAAATCAGCAACAGTGGTCTGGATATTAACTCCAGACAAAAATTGTATAGTTAGGCTGGGGAGATAGCTTGGTAGTCTAAGCACTTGCCTGGCAAGCACAAGGACCTTGGTTTGATTCCCAATACTGCATGCCATGCCAGCCATTGAAACTGGGTGTGGTGGTACATGCCTATAATCCCAGTACTGGGGAGGCTGAGATAGGAGGATCTCTATGAGTCTGAACTACATAGTGAGAACCTATACTAAATAAATAAGTAAATCTTTTTTTTAAAATTTGTTTTAAAAGTTGTGTGGTTCAATTGTAATTGATTCATCACATAGCCCTTCAGGAATTTGCAAAACACTTTCATATTGTTCTCTCTGTGCCTTATGCTTGGAGAAAAGTAGGTCATTTATCTTTGTCTTCATTGTATCCATAAAGAAATAGGATGAGAAAGGTGTAGTTGCTGGGTACAGTCCTACAGTCAGGCAGGCTGAGAACTAAAGGTTGACTCCAGAGCTCCAGGTCTAAAAGTCCAGGAACATACTGCACAAAGGTTCAGGGTAGTTCAGCTTAAATTTCAATAGCAAAAAGAAAGTAGGATTTCCCATAATACTGGAAGCTGGGATCTGAGTTCAGTGGAGATGGATAAAACAGATAAAGCAATTACCTGATTGAGAAAAGGAATAGAAAAGCTTATGCCAAACTTGGTTGGGATGATACACAGTCCTCTCTTTTTCCAACAATTCTCCCTGGAGTAAAAGAAAAAGAACAGAAATTCTTGCAAACTTTTCTCCACCTAGCTATATGAGATTAGATATGCTTTCTGTCAACATCTGTACACCAAATCACCAAATTGGGACAGGACATGCTTGGGCCCATCGATACAGTCACTGCCGCAACTGAATTGTGTCCCAGTCATGTAGACAAAAAGGAAAGAGGTAGAAATCTGGGCTCTGGTTCCCCAAGTGCAGCTGTAGCAGAGCTCATTCATGGAATACTGAATTCATGTCACCATCCCCACAGTACCTGAGAACTTGCGTCTGTGTGCCTAATGACCTTGGGCTGTCCTTGTCCCAGGGAGAAAGGCAACAATGCCTTCTCTCTGTTTTATGTCTGAGTAGCTCTATGAAGAAGACAAGTGGCGATATAATAGTCCCTACTGTGCAGAGGATGAGACCTAGACCTATTCCAGGGAGAGGGAATTTTGCCAAGGCCCAATTTATAGGTTATTGTCAAAGGCAAGCACCATAACTCTGGGGTCTGTGTTCTCAGTGACATGCTGTTTCCAAAAGGCACATGAATATGTAAAGCTGAACCATAGTGGATGGGGCTGTGGGGTTGCGGGCAGGCTGGAGCTTGCCTGGCCCTGGCTGAAGATCATTACGAGGCCGTAAAAGGTCGTAAAGGGGTGGCTATCTTGAGTTGCCAAATCCAAGTCTCATAACTTGCCCACTAAACTGTCAACTTTGTATTTGGGCCTCAGCAGAAAGCCATCCAACCCAAGCCCAGAACATCAGACTCCTCAGTCCCGCGCTTACTTGTTGAACTTGTCGACCTCCACCCTCCGGGCGTGATACTGAGAGCTCGCTATGCACTCATCCCAACACCTGGGCAAGGTGAACATCTCAAGCTTCTGATTGAAGTGTGTCAGGTCCCCTTCTTTGTACATGTTGTTCCTTCTCACCTTTCCAAAAAGAGAGACACTGAGGCGATGTTGGGAGCAGAGGACTGGGAATGGGAAAGTGGACAACCTTAAATTAAGCTTCCAGCCTCCTCAGCAGCCCCTACTCACCTTTGATCCCATAAGAGATACAAAGCCACTGGGCTGCCAGTGTACACTACCCCACTCTGACTCATGTCCCCAAATTCCCAGCTTACTTCCTCTGGAGGCAGCCCACAGGTCACTGCGACTTCACTCATCCAATACTCAGCAATGAGCATCGCTTGGGGCCCCCCAAAGCCCCGAAAGGCTGTATTAGAGGACAGATTGGTCTTGCACAGCCGCCCAGTGCCCCGGATGTTAGGTATTCTGTAGGCATTGTCCATGTGGAATAGAGCTCGGTCCATTATCTGAATCAGAGGAAATCAAAATGGAAGAGAACAATGCATTAATTTCATTGGTTTCTCAAAGAGGGGCTACAAGGATAGCCAATATTTTGGCCCTAGCCCTTCAAGGTCAGTGAGGACTCAGGATATAGGAGAACCTGTGCTTGGACATCTTGTAATTCAGTGGTGTCCCAAATTTTCTGATCAAGGAGATTATGGGGCCACAGAGGAAAGTGATTGATGATATATAGTGTGCCTAAGGAGAGTCACCTAGAGAGAAAAAATTCTCTCAGGCTTTCACAGAGAGTAAATTGATCAAGCAATGGCTGTGACTCATCCACATAGCTGACACTGACAAAAGATGTGCAAGGTGCTATACATGGTTTCAGGGTAAATCCTGAGGGGATTTGACTGGCCTTGTTGAATACAAAAGTTACATTTTTAGTTACATAGGTCTTGCTTTAACTTAGTCTTAACCATCCAGCAGAAAAAACTACAAGGTATAAAGAGTAAAGCCATATTAATATGTTCAGCTGTAAAAGGCTCAAGTCAACAACTTCAGACAATTGCCAGTTCTGCTGATAACCCACTACTATTATGGACTATTAGACTGTATTGGGTTACTTTGCTGAATTCAAGTACCTACAATATTTGAACTGGCATCAAATATGAAAAGGTCCTTTAAAGACTTCTCCAAATACAGCTTCTCTAACAATAATGGAACACCCATCTCTGACAAAACAAAAAAGGGGGATATAAATAAAGGACCATTTTATAGTGAAAAAAAAATATATATATAAAATAGGATAATATAAAGCTACCTTCTTTTAGTTCAATGAGAAGAAAGGTTTGTACTAATACTGTTTAGACAAGATGTGTCTGCATCTTGTCCTTTGATTAGCTACTATGAAGACAACAATATGCAATGTATTAATTATTGCAACTGTCCAACTAACCTGTTTTGAAACTGTTTCATTGCTTTTTCATTAAAATTAATAAAAAAATTTTAAAATTTTCATTGGTTTCTCAAAACAGGTCCACCGTGGGCTGCACTCCTGCCTGCCTTTCCCATCCCACTGTCAAGGGCTCTTTTCCAAGTCCCAGCGGCCCCTCCTCCCCTGGGCAGTGATCCATTTTCATGGTTCCACTTCATCTACATAATAAAATCTTTGCACTGCCCCTTCTATGGGGAAACCCCACCTAGGCCCTCTCTTGCCTCTTTAAAAAAAAAGCTGACATATTAATAGCTGAGTCTAAAATTTTTATTTTAATGAATTTTACTAATTGTAAATGTGTTCCTATTTCCATTAAAGTTGTACTGTAAATAGTAAAGAGTCAAATTCCTCAGCAAGTCGTGAATGAAAGCAGCACCACTCTTCTTTCCCTCCTTCCACTCTCTAGCAGCAACCCCTTAATCCTCGTAGCTTTCAGGTGAGCCTCCACATCTCTAAATAATGCTTCCATATTGCCCCATGTCCGCTTTTCCAGTTGCAGACCTTTATATTGTCTTCCCCCAATGAAAAAGAGGGTATCATTCCTACCTACTACTCTTTCCTCACATACATATCAACTTCCCATCCCCCAGCATATTTGCATTTTGATCTCATCAAGAGTTCAATATCATAGTTCTGTAAATGCAACAGCAAACCCACGCAGTTGCGCTACTGTCTCTCTTGATAGAACTTTTTCACTCTGAAGTTTACCACTGACTTAATTTTTTGTTCATCTTCTACGTACTTATTATTAAACTAATTTAAAAGCTTTCCCTCGTGCTAAAAGTCCACTCTCACTCTGTTCAGTCGCATTATATCTTGCATCAGTTTCAATGCTTAGAAGAGATCGTGACTGGAGCCGTCCGGCCCACTTCGCATCGAGCTGGCTGCCCACCCAGCCTGCCAGTCAGCTCTCCGGGGTTTCTCAGGCACTCGTCTGCGAATCCCATTCCCGCTTTCTGTACTGAGTCTGCAGTCTCTGGACCCCATGCCTTTCCTCACGTTAGTCTTACTCTCACATGTGTTTTGGTACATTCTTTAACATCTTCCTAAGAAAGAAGCCATAAAACACTTTGGACACCTGGCATGTCTGAAATGTCTGTATCGTACCCTCTTTCTTGACTGATAATTTGGCCGTACAGAGCGAGAATTCTAGGTTGAAACCAGTTTTCGTTCCTCTCTGCATTCTGAAGGTACTTTACTAATATATTCTAACACCCAAAAACTGAGAAGAATCTGTTAATTCTTTTCCAATTCTCAGAAAGAGTAGTTTGAACTTTCCTGAAAACTGTAAAATCTCTTTGTCCCCAAAGAGATTACATTTAGAAAATGTGAGTTTTCTTAGTTTCAGTAATACAACTTAATATAGATTTATTTCCCTTATTGTGGTGGCGGTCATTGGATGGGATTTTTTTAAACTCAAAATTTGTGTTAATTTCTTTGGGGACACTTAATTGTTTTCTTTCTTTTTTTTTTTTTTTTTTTTTTGAGGGGGTTGAGACATCTCACTATGCAATCCATGAGGTCCTCACAATGATCCTCCTGACTCAGTCTCCTGACTCAGTGCTAGGATTATAGCCATGCACCATCACCCTGGCCCCTTGATTTATTTAATAGCTTCTTTCTGGGTTTTGTTTTTTCATTCCTTATTTATGAAACTTCTGTTATTCAAACCTCCTAAACTGATCCTCAGATGTTTCTTTCCTATTTTTCCACAGTGTTATTTTGGGAAGATTCCTCAAGGTTCCTTCAGTCCTCTTTGTAGTCTTAGTTCACAAGAGCTCATTTTTAGTCTTTGATTGTTTTGTCTTTATAGCATTCTGTCCTCCCTCAAAGCTGTAACACCTAATTTCTCTGAGAAGATAAATGGTCGCTTTCATTGTTTTTGCTGGTTTCATTTTAGATGTACTCTGCCTCCCCGTGTGCAATCTCTTTCCCACAAATTGATTTATGTGTCTTTAATCATTTTGGCCTTAGTCATCCTAGGTAACTTGTTCTACATCTCAATTAAGTGCATTTTGCTCTCCCTTGCAACTTTGTCAACTTATACTTCTATTTCCCTTTTTTTAAATCTATCTCCCATGTCACATTACGGATTTATTGAGGCAGATATGAATGCCATATTCTTTGTGTTGCCACCCCAGGCACTCAAGCGGCATTGACAGGATGGAATTAAAACTCTTGTAAGACCTTTGGGAACAAGCACTGCATGATTTTCATTCCAAAAACTACATGTTACACATGGTGAGAACACTAGAATTATTTCCCTTTTTTGAGCAATTAACACTAGACCGAAATGTAAAGTTCTATAGTTGAGCCAATTAAATGTTCCCTAGCAGAGAGGGATGGCATCTGAAGGATATAACAGGAAACTTCTGCTTTTCATGAAATGTGTTACTAAAAAAAGAAAAAAGGAATCTGTATGTATATAATACATAACTAGTATGATTAAGAAATTAAGATTTAACAAGTTTTTAAAACATTATCCAGGTAAACTTGTTGCTGGGACCACAAGAAGGAGGAGAGTACAACTTCCCTTCTGACCTTAAACTAGTCATTTTTAATGGGATTGAATAAGTGTCCGCTGAGACTAAGTGTGAAAACCCACAGCAACCACCTTTGGCATCTCTTGAGGTTCTATCCTGGAAGAAATACAACATTAATGTATAGTATGGGGACGTCCTCCTCCATGCTTTTAATAAGTACCGCTAAAAATCTGGATTTGTATGTGATAATTTCAAATCTACCATAGCACAAGAGTATTCTGAAAAAGAAAGAGAAAAGGCAGACTCCTAGGCCTCACGACAGGAAGATTGACAATGAATCCTGAGGTTTTCTTTTTGACTTCTATATCCCAAACTTGGAGCAAAAATAGGCCATCCAGAAATACCAGGGATCAAGAAGCTCAACCTGTCTCACAAGTCCTTGTCTCTCTACCCAGAGGACAAGGAAAGGGCAGCCTAGCAGAATGGAAAGCTTTTATCTAGTAACTGACCTAATCCAGCCAAACACTATAGAAAAAAAAATTGTGGGGTCCCTTTCCTACCCAAGGCTTTAAAAGCTCAGTGTAAGTTTAGACGCTCACATTCGTTGGCTGCAATGGGACACTCTAACACCTTCACCGGTGGTATCAAGGAAGGTTAGGGAGGAAGGTGGGACTTTAAGTCTGGGTAGCCAATAAGAAAGCCCTGGGACATCCTGTGGAGTCACTGGAGAACACATGAGTGGATTTCCATCCCACCCAGAAGTACAGACACAGTGTTCTTCCTTCCTTCCCTGCTGGGTCACATCAAAGGAAGCCTAAAGAGTTAAAGTTTTAGGCTGAGTAGATAGCTCGGTGATCTAAGCACTCCCCTGGAAAGCACAAAAACCTGGGTTCGATCCCCAGTACCAAATGACATGTTGGCCACTGAGTCTGGGCATGGTGGCACATGCCTGTAATCCCAACACTGGGGAGGCTGAGACAGGAGGATCACTGTGAGTCAGCATGAGATCTTGTACCAAATAAATAAAAGATTGTTTTTAAGTGAATTAAAGCTTTCACCACAGTTGGTGATAAAGAGTCCACCATGATGTCAAAGGAGAGCATGACAAATTAAGAGCCCCACCCTGTCCAGTAGTAAGAAGGAGCTGCCCCCACTCCCGGTGTCAACAAGGTCAGCGCCATTTCCATCTCAGCCCTGGGTGGTGGCACCCACCTCCATTTCCCCTTGCGAAGCAGTGTCATAAAAAGCCAGTTAAAGTAGAACGTTTAAATAGTATCCAAATTCTCAGATCATCATCATCATTATTACCATTATCTATATATTGAAAATCCAGATTTTTTTCCAGATTTCAATGGAAAAAAAAAACTTATAACAAGAGACAGGAAGATCTCAAATTGAGTAATAATAGGTGCCAGCACTGAGGAGATAAAGCTGTTAAAATTTTGAGAGCAGTTTTAAGAGAGCCCTAAGAGGAATGTTTCTATGATCAATTATGCATGCTTGACACAAACAAAAAACCCTACAAAGCCTTAGAAGGTGAACAGTCTCCACAAAAAAGCAAATGGTATAAAGAACAACCAAACTGACATTTTAGAGCTAAAAGTGTAATAACCAAAAAAAAATACCACATCGGATGCATTATATAGCAGAGGAGAGGGGACACAGGAAGGAATTAGTAGACTGAAGCGTAAGGTAATATGCATTACTCAATCTAAACTACGCTGACAAAGTAAGGTCAAAAAAAACTGTTAACAGAGCTCCATGAGACTACAACAAAAAACTACAATTCACATCATTGGAGTTCTGAAAGGAAGAGAGGAAAAGAGAGGGGCTTAAGGAGCACTCCAGAGGCAATAGTGAAAACTTCCCAAAATTTCAAAAGCTACAAATTCAAGATTCTGAATGAGTTTCAAACAGAATAAATCTAAAGAAACACATGACACCATATATACTATTTAAATTTCTGAAAATGGGCCTGGGAAGATAGCTTGGTAGTCTAAGCACCTGCTTGACAAGCATAACATCCCAGAGTACCATCCTGGTACCGCATGCCCTGCCAGCCCCAGAACCCCGGCTGCACTCTGATACCCCACAAAACCAGGTGTGGTGGCTCACGCCTGTAATCCCAGGAAGCTGAGACAAGAGGATCACTATGAGTCCAAACTGTGTAGCAAGACCCTGTACTAAATAAATAAATAAATAAAATCTGAAAACTAGAAGAGAGAAAAATATTAAAAGCAGCCAGAGAAAGTGATACCCTGTCTTTAGGGGACAACTGATCAGAATAAAAACAAATTTCTCATCAGAAACTGGAAAGCTAGAGGAGGTACCTCGGTCTTTCATGCACTAAAAGAAAAGAACTCTTAACTCCAAACTAATAACATTTGGCTCCAGCCAACCTGTAATAAAAGAATGGCTAAAAGAATTTCTCTAAATAAGAAGAAAAGGATAAAAGAATGAGACTTAGAATACCAGAAGGAAGGAAAAGGGTTAGCAAAAATTGGGGTAATAGGGGTCTTTCTTCCCTTTAGTTTTCAAAATTATTATTGATAAATGTAACAAAAGTCATAATTATCATAACACTGCCTTGTGCAGTTCCAGATATACGTAAGGAAAACATTTTAAATTAAACTAATATAAATAGGGGAGGGCAAAGAGAGAAAAAATTCTATATTTCACTAAAAGTAGTGAAATGACAACCCACACAGATTGTGCTCAGTTGTGTAGATTAAATATAATATCTTGAGCAACCAACAAGAAGGTTAAATAATATTTTGAAAAACATTGAGATAAATAAACACTGTTCAAGTAATCCACAGAAAGATGAAAACATAGGGAATAAAAAGTAGAGAAAAGAAATAGAAAACAAAAAAATAAAATAAAGTGATAGATTTATGACCTAATTTATGAATATTTATTATTAATTATATATAGTATAAATACAATTATATATAGTATAAGTAGATTAAAAATGAAAACATGACCCAACTATACTGTCTTCAAGAAAATCATTTCAGGGTCCGGCCCTTAGCTCAGTTGTTTAAGTGGCTGCTTCAACAAAGCAGTCAGCCTCAGGTTGCTGTGGTTCGATCCCCACAACTCCAGGCAGCCAAACATGCCCTGAATGCATTCTGAGCCAGCGGGGGGTGGGCGGGAATCCTTCTGCCATTTTGGGGCCAGGGAGATGGCTCAGTGGAATAAGTGCTTCCCTGGCAAGTGCAAGGGTCTGAGTTCAATCCCCAGTTCC